TTAACATCCAAAAATCAATTAATGCAACACACCATATCAACAGAATCAAAACAAAAATAACATGATCATATCAGTGTATTATGAAAAGACATTTGACAAATACCTATTTTATGATTAAAAAAAAAACTAGGTATAAAAAGGAATTTCCTCAACCTGGTTAGGAGTATCTAATGAAAAAAACATAGTTAAAATCATACAGTAAAAGATTCAATGTTCTTCCCTTAAGATCAGGAGTAAGACAACAATATTCATGCTTACTCCTCTATTCAACATTATACTGGAGGTTACAGCCAAGAAAATTAGTCAAGAAAAAGAAATAAAGCACCCAGAATGGAAAGAAAGAGGTTAAACTTTTTCTACTCACAAATGATATTACCTTATATATAGAAATCCTTTAAAATCCTATGAAAAACCTATTAGAATAGACAAGTTCTACAGGTTGTAGATACAAATCAATATACAAAACTCAATAAACAATTGAAAAATGAAATTAAGAAACAATTCCATATAAATGCCACTGAAAAGAATAAAATACTTAAAAATACACAGCACAAGAATTATAAGGTATTATACTCTAAAATTTTAAATAATATTAAAAGATATTAGAGAACACAAAATAAAAGACAATGTTCACACATTCAAAGACTTAATATTGTTAAAATATTAACATTAGCTGCCGCAGTCTGGCTGGGCACAATCAGAAGCCACTTGTCAAAAGAAACTAACTTTATTTTTAGAACCAAACACGCCAAACAAAACAGCCTCTCAGGAAAAAACCTCAGAGCATCAACTGCCACCACCGGCTTTCCACACGCCTCTCTCTCCCCCCACAAGCTTCTTTCCACCTCCCCCAATCCTCCTGCTCTTGAGGCCGATTGGCTGGGTCACGTGGGCGGAGCCAAAAAAGTCCCCCAATGAGCAGCTCCGTGGTCTGAAAGGGCAGGGAAACAGTCCAATGAGCATCACCGCAGAGGAGCCAATCAGCTAGATGTTGCTGGGGCCGAGGAGCCAATCAGCTAGATGTTGCTGGGGCCGCTGTGAGCCAATCATCAGCCGGCAGCTGGAAGTTTGCTGGGGCCCCTTCGGCTGTGGCTCTCAACAATTAGCCAGGCATGGTAGCATACACCTGTAATCCCGGATACTTAAGCGGCTGAGGCAAGAGGATTGCAAGTTCAAGGCAAGTCTCAGAAATTTAGTGAGGCTTTGTCTCAAAATAAAAATAAAAAGGGCTGGGAATGTAGTTCAATGGTAGAGTACCCCTGGGTTCAGTCCTCAGTACTAAAATAAAGGCAATATTTTCCAGATGGATCTACAGATTTAACATAATTTCTATGAAATGCAAGCCAGTTTTTCTGTGGAAAAAATTGACAACTTGATTCTATTATTCATATGAAAACATAAGAGACCCAGAATAGCTAACACAATCTTGAAAAAAAAAGGTGTAAAACTCACACTTCTCATTTTCAAAGTTTACTACAAAGCTACAGTTATCAAGAGAATATGATACTGGCATTAAGGATAGACATATAGGTCAATGGAATCTAATTGATTCTTGAGAAGGAGGCCAATAAAATTCAATGGGAAAAGATGAGACTTTTCAACAAATAATGTTGGGATTACTGAATATCCACATGCAAAAGATTGAAGGTGGACAACTGCTTCATATCATAAACAAAAATTAAATAAAAATGAATAAAAAACTAAATATGATATGGACATTTTTACAAAGAAGGTATACAAATTGCCAATAAGCACATGAAATGATGCTCAACACCATTAGATATAATTGAAAACTAAATAAAAACTACAAAAATGAGATACCATTTCACACACACTAGGATGGCTATAATTAGAAATACATTATAACAAGTGAGAATGTAGACAAATTATCGCTGAATAGAACATAAAATGGTCCTGTTGTTTTGGAAAACAGTATAGCATTTCTTCAACAAGTTAATCATGTTGTTACCATATGATCCAATAATTCCTTTCTTAGGTATATACCCAAGAGAAATGAAACATACATTCACAAAAAACTTGTGCAAAAATGTTGATAGCAACATGATTCATAATAATAAAAAATGGAAACAACCCAAACATACATAAACAGATGGATGCACAAATAAAAATTTCCTTATTGTTTGGCAATAAAAAGAATGAAGTACTGATATATGTTACAACAAGGATGAAACTTGAAAACATTATGCTATAAAAGCAGTCAGTGACAAAAGATCACATATTATATAATTCATCTTATATGAAATGCCCAGAATAGGCAAATCTATAGAGACAAAGGATTAATTATTGTGAGAAGGTAGGGAACAGACATTGTGGGAGATAGAGACTAATTGCCAGTGGGAATGAGTTTCTTTTTGGAGCGATAAAAATATTCATAAATTTATTGTAGTAATGGTTACACATCTCTTCTTGTAAATATACTAATAAAATTACTGAATTGTATACTTAAAAAGGATGAATATCATGTTAATTATAACTAAATATTTTTTAAAAAGTTAAACAGTATTACCATGTGGCCTAGTAAGTCCACTCCTAGATATGTACTCAAGAAAATTTAAAACATTTTCCCTCACGAAAAATGTTCCGTATTCACAGAACAATATAATAGCCAAAATTGGTTACAACTGATGAATGGACAAATGAAATGTGCTATATCCATACAACTGAATATTATTCAGCAATAAAAAAGGAATGAAGCCAGGTGCATGCCTGTAATGCTAGCTACTGGGAAGGCTGATACAAGAGGGACCATAAGTTCAAGGCCAGCCTGCGTACCTTAGCAAGACCCTGTCTCAAAATAAAAAGGGTTGGGAGGGCTGGGATTGTGGCTCAGTGGCAGAATGCTTGCCTCACACATGTGAGGCACTGGGTTTGATCCTCAGTACCACATAAAAATAAATAAACAAAATAAAGATATCATGTCCATCTATAACTAAATTAAAAAAAATTTTTTAGTTATACATGAACACAGTATCTTTATTTTGTTTATTTTTATGTGGTGCTGAGGATCAAATCCAGCCTCACATGTGCAAGGCAAGAGCTCTGCCACTGAGCCACAACCCTAGCCCCAGCTAAAAATATTTTTGAAATCTAAATGAAAAGGGTTGGGAATGTAGCTCAATGATACAGTGCCCTGAGTTCAATCCCCAGTACACTTGGAGATGGAGATAAAATACTGATATATACTACAACATGAATGAACCTTGCAAACTTTACGCTAAGTGAAAAAAGTCAGTCACAAAAGACCACATACATGATTACATTTTTATGAAATGTAGGTTAGTGGTTGTCTAGGGCTAGGGAAAGTGGTAGGAATGGAGAATGAGTGCTAATGTTATGGTGTTTCTTTTGGGGTGATAAAATATTCTAAAATTAGATTGTGGTGATGCCTGCACAACTCTTAATTATACTAAAATCCATTAATGTATATAGTTTAAATGGTTGAATTTTACAGTAAGTGAATTATATCAGTAAAGCTGTTAAATAACTCAGAAGTGTATACCTAAAAGATGATAAAGAATGTATACGAACCTTTAAGTACTGTATTAAGAAGGCTAAATCTCAAAGTACAAATATAGAACAAAAAGGACACTTTTAAATACATTCAGAACAAAAAGCTGAATGAGGAAGAAATAGGTCTCTGCCCTGTGCCAGCAGTATAAAAATGATAAATGACAAAGAGGCCAAATTCCTCAATTACTATTTTTGCTTCTGCCTTTTTAGTTCCCAAGCGGGAACTGAAGCCCAATATGAGTAAAGAAGTAGTGAGGACCCAACTACTTTAATAAGAGTTGAAATATCCTGAGTCAGATGAATTATAACTAAGGGAACTGAGAGTAATTTCAAAAGAGACCATTGAAGCTATGTCAATGATCTTTGAGGAATCACAGACAAAGATGTTCCAGAAGGCTGGGCAGATGTAATTTCAAGTTTCAAAAAAAGGGTAAAAGTTAATTCCATACATTACAGACCAGTGAATTTGATATAAGTCTAGAATGGATTATTACAAGGTCATCTTACAAGAACCTGGAAATGGAGGAATGAGCAGTAGAAGCAACTTGAATTCACTAAGAAAAAGTCAATCTACGCTAATCCTTATTCCTTTTATTTGCATTTTTACTAAGCTGTTAGCTATGATACATATAGTAGACATAGTAGATCTGAACTTAGCAAGACATTTGACAAAATCCTTCACAAGATCCTTAAGAACAAAACTGAGGAATAAACTAAATATTATTCTCTGTTAGAGAGATTAATAATCATTTAAAGGACCATTCTCAAAGCATACAGATCACCAGGTCACTATCATGCTAGAAGCAGCTTTCTAATAACATACACCATAGGAATTTTCTAACTTTAGGCACTTGATCATTTAATTCCAACAAATTGAATAAAGATATGGAATCCATGCTAATGAGGTTTATACATGACAACATCAGGAAGGGATAGTGAATCCTTGGAATGACAGAATAAGGGTACTGATTTTATTTATAAGAAGTTGGGGAGGTAAAACAAAACAAAACTTGCCTGGACCAGATGAAATCAAACCAAGGGCCAGATCTAAATTTAATACCTGAATTAGAGAACGAATGTGTGGGAAAGAAATAATTTTTTTACCCTTGTTGAAATCATCCTCAAAAACTGAACTGCAGCTACTGTTAGAATGTGCTCTGAGCTGGGCATGATGGCAAATGCCTGGAATCCCAGTGGCTCAGGAGGCTGAGGAAGGAGGATCACAAATTCAAACCTAGCCTCAGTAACTTTGATAGGCCCTAAGCAACTCAGTGAGATCCTACCTCTAAAAAAATACAAAAAGGGCTGGGGATGTGGCTCAGTGATTAAGTGTCCCTGGGTTCAGTCCCAGGTACCAATTAAAAAAAAAAAAAGATTGTGCTCTGAAATATCCCATATGAAACACCGGCAATATCAATAAGAGTACAAAGGTGTTTTTAATCTACAACTTTGACCTTAATTACTCTTACCCTCTTTTAGTCGATCTCCTTCAGCCTTGGTTTTTTTCTGTCTTTCTGATCCAGCAAGGTCTACAAGATGCAGCTTGGAGCGGAAGCTGCTATTCCTGTGATAATGACAGGAAGACACAGTAAGAAAAAATACACAAGTTTGAAAGTGTGTATCAAAGATGATCTGCTAGCTCTCATTTGTTTTCTAAATCAGTTTAAATAGATCCATTGGTCACTAATGCTCACAATACTGACATCAAATGATGAGTCAAATCATTTGAAGAAGCAACCTACTATTCAACCTTCATAGAACATAAAAAAGTCTTGACTATTGAAATTATAACTTACTTGTCATTTTTCTTTCTTTGCTCTATGGAAATTGTAAAGATGGCATGAGATCGGGATGACTGGGAATTCATAGCTGTGGATGCCACAGTCCTACAGTTGTTGCCCTGCTCCAAACAAGAAACAGTATCCAAGGCAACTAAAACAGTCTTCTCAGTGAGTCCCACAATCTAATTCCAAGAAAGAAAAATTTTTCTTATAGTTAATATTTCAAATGCTTGGTAAGAAATACAGGGTTGGTGGTTTAAAAAAATGTCTTGATACTCCAGTAGAAATCAATAAACAGCAATTGTTGAGAGCCACAGCCGAAGGGGCCCCAGCAAACTTTCAGACTGCCAGCTGATGATGGGCTCACAGCAGCCCAGCAACATCTAGCTGATTGGCTCCTCTGCGGTGATGCTCATTGGGCTGTTTCCCTGCCCTTTCAGACCACGGAGCTGCTCATTGGGTGACTTTTTGGCTCCGCCCACGCGACCCAGCCAATCGGCCTCAAGAGCAGGAGGATTGTGGGAGGTGGAGAGGCTTGTGGTTGTGAAAGAGGCTTGTGGGAAGCCGGTGGTGGAAGTTGGGCTCTGAGGGTTTTTCCTGAGGAGCGGTTTTGTTTGGCATGTGTGGTTCTAAAAATAAAGTTCGTTTCTTTTGACAAGTGGCTCCTGATATAGGGTTGGTGGTTTAAAAAAATGTCTTGATACTCCAGTAGAAATCAATAAACAGCTATGAAATAAGACTATTTTAACTAGAACTCTGTGAAATGACCAAAAACCAAAGTCTCTAATCTTCCCTAAGAACTTAATAAACCGAGTGTTTGCTAATACTAGAGTCAGAGAAGATCCCTAGATTTTAGGGTAGTGATAGCCCCAAGTAAATGTAAATTTTGGGCCTGAAAGAGAACAAATGAAGCTGGGTGTGGTGATGTACACCTGCAATCCCAGCAGCTGGGGAGGGTGAGGCAGGAGGATCACAAATTTAAAGCCATCCTCAGCAAAAGCAAGGTGCTAAACAACTCAGTGAGACACTATCTCTAAATAAAACACAAAATACAGCTCGGGATGTGGCTCAGTGGTTGAGTGCCCTGACTTCAATCCCTGGTACTTGCTCTCTCAAAAAATATAACAAAAACCAAGAAAACAAGTGCAACACAAACAGCTATGGTATTTCCCTTTGCTAGTTTATCCTCCATGTGATTCCGTGCATCTCCCTGTACTTCTGACCCATTTGATACCTCATTTTCACTAGAGGAAACAGCAGTATATAGTTTTTGTAGCATCAGGAATTCAGGAAAATAAGGTCTCATGTTTGGTACTACACTATTTCTCCATTTCTATTAATATCTCTATTCTCCTTATCTCGAAACTTCAGATCACCTTCAACTTCTCTCATTCCTCCATGTCCCATCTATCACCAATTCCTAGTCATTCTTCTTTTGAATCCATCACTTCCTTTTCCCTTCCAAATCTACTTGCTGAGTTCAGGTTTATATTATTTCATGTTTGAAAAATAAGGCAACAGTTTCCTCAACTGGTCTTCCTCACCCTTGTCTTTTTTTTTTCAATCCATTTCTATTTAATTTTCCTAAAACCTTGCTTCCCAAAATGTCACCAAAGTACTAAACACTGTGTTAGATAATGAGGATACAAAGACATTTTAAAATGTTCTCCTAACTCCAGAAGCCAATGTAGTTGGAGAGATATATATGTAAGATAAAAAATTGGTAAAAATTAGCCATAGCAACCTTTCGTTCAGAAGTAGTAAATAATTTATATGCTGTTTAGAGGGACAGAAATAGCTTTTCACTCTGGCTTCACAATCTGGTCCTAACACATCTCCTGTTATTCCCCAGCCTAAATCCTATAGTCCAGACTAGTCTAGGCCTATTCAGCTTTCCTGTTGAAGGTATTCCTTACTATAAGAGTACCCTTACTTCTCTCTACTTATTTAAATACCATCTATCCCACCTGAAGGGATATTTACCCAAACTTGTTCTTAACCACTCAGGTTTGTGTCAGGAACACATTTCTTTGAATTGTGCATCTCACCGCAACAACATGTGGGACTTAATTCCTTAGAATAGGACATATGAAAGATGTTGGGACAGGGTCCAATGCTGGTTCAGTATCAACTTCTTTCTGGTGACAGCAAGTATTTTGTACAGGTTTCTTACTGCCAGGTTTCTGAACTATCTTCCTATATTCCAAACTTATGGGACCTGAACTTTAGGCCTTGCTTTAATACCTAGTTAACAAATTAATGATCTGGAAGGGAAAAAAAATCTCTGAAGCACAGGCATCTGCCCCTTATCACTTCTTTAAACCTGCAACTTTCCTTTTTTAGTTTGTGCAGGAAAAAAAAGGGAAGGAGAAGATGGGTAAGATATTATTTCTCCATATTTTATCAAGTCTGAACTACCTATTCTCACCCATTTCCAGCCTCTGATTCTCCCACCCCTGAATACTCAAGTTCCACCTCCAGATCCTGCACCTATACCATGTGACAGAGGCTCTCACAAAAGTGTTCTTCTCCCTATAGTACATACAAATTAAAAAAAAATCATATTCAATTTTTCATTTTATATCATTCTAGAGCTTAGCACAATGTGTATTACAATACTGTCCAACAGAATTTTCTATAATCATGGATACATCCTGTACCTATGCTGTTCAATATGGTAGTCATAAGTCACATATAACTACTGAGCACTTGATATGTGGCTGGCAGGGGAATTGAATTTTAAATTTTATTCCATTTTAATTAATTTAAAACTAAATAGCCACTTGTGACCATACTAGAAATTTCAGCCTCAGAACTCTGTAATAATTAATAAATGTTTAATTGATCTTAGCATTCCACAAGAAGTAACAGGAAGGTGATAAAACTGAATGTGAGTCCTCCCTTTCTTCCCCATAAGAGCTCCCATCGAGGAATTCAAGATAAACAAAGGCAATTTAGGACCACGCAAAACCTAAAAGACTGAGATGTTAGTAGTCATTTAAAACCATAGTCCCAAAGAAAAAGGTATGTGAACTTTAGTAGTTGCCAACATTTTAATAATATCAAATAAAAGATAAACACACCTTTATGCCTTCTTTAGGATCTTCACGGATATTTATTTGAGAGGCTTTCTCACGAGAAGGGCATAGAAGATCCAAAATTTCTTCATTGTAAATCTGATATTGTTGAAAGTAAAGTGGTGAAAACAAGCTGTTAACAGCAATACTCTCTTAGTATTGGAAACAGGTCATTTTTAAAAATACTTTGTGGGCTGGGGATGTGGCTCAAGCAGTAACGCACTGGCATGCACGGGGTGCTGGGTTCGATCCTCAGCACCACATAAAAATAAAATAAAGATGTTGTATCCACCAAAAACTAAAAAGTAAATATTAAAAAATTCTCTCTCTCTCTCTTTAAAAACATATAAATAAATAAATAAAAATACTTTGTAACTTTCTGTACTTAAAATTCTGTTTACAATGAACATATATTAGAATTAAGAAAAAGGGCCATGGTGTATCTCAGTGACAGAGTTCTTAGAGCTTGCCTAGCATGCACCAGACAGTTGGTCATATCACTCCCACCACATACACAAAAGGGACTTTAACCTTATATGTAACCATTTGCTGTTTTACAAGAATGAATTCCATATTACTTGTAACAAAACTGAGACTACTCTTTTGGGACAGAGTTTCCTTTTTTAAATTTTTCAGTTGTAGTTGGACACAATACTTTTATTTTGTTTATTTTTATGTGGTGCTGAGGATTTAATCCAGAGCCTCTAACGGGCTAGGTGAGTACTCTACTACTGGACACAACCCCAGCCCAAGGACAGAGTTTCTTAGGAATAGCAGACCTTTTAAAAAAGTTACATGGGTGTCCAAATTCAGTTCTCTGATGGTGTTCTAACACAACCACCTTCACAAACTTTGTTAAAATGTGAACAGTGGGTCCTTAGGGGAGGAGAGTATGAAGGCTGGGAGCAAGGAAAGCAAAAGGGAAAAGTAGCAACTAATATTTCAACAGCAAATAAAACTGTAAGTACTGAGAACAAAGCTTAACACATGGTAAGCACTATATTTGTTTGCTATTATTGCTGATGCTAATTATTTAACATGCCATCTGGCCACAGTAGGTGCTCAACAAATATGTGTTTAACAATTCAATATTCACCCTTTATTTTCTTACTGAGGATTGAATCCAGGGGTGTTATACCACTGATCTACATCCCTAGTTCTTTACATTTTTTAAAATTTTGAGACAGGTTCTCACTAATTTGCTGAGGATCTGGCTATGTTGCTGAGGCTGGCCTTGAACTTGTAATCTCCTGTCTCAGCTTCCCAAGTTGCTGAGATTACAGTTGGGCACCACTGAACCCAGCTTCACCCTAATCTTTAATAAACTTTTTCAGGAAGCAGCAAAATTATAACTTAAGCCTCAAGAGAGTAAAGGTAAATCAAATACATTTCCATATACTCTACAGGAAATCAGTAATAGAAGCCAAACTGGAATTTAAAAATTCCTATCATCTTTTGATATGGCAATGCCAATTCCTCTAACAATCAGATTAAATATACTATCCCAATAAGAAAAGAAAAGAATTGGGTCAGAGCCAGATCCAACTGAGCCAGTACATTTTCTCTATCAATTTATTAAAATGCAATTTACTAAAAATGTAATTTACTAATCTGAGTCATGCCAGGAAAAATGATTTGGATTTATTTTTCTATCCAAAGATAACTTCGAATTCAGAATAATTAAAGATAAATCACTTACCTCCAAATAAGATACTTTCAGAGTAAATTCAAAGTCACTCTTTTTATCAATTTCTTTAAATAGCAGTTGTATTACCCTAGGAATGACCCCAACTGTTGGTTCATTTTCTTGCTCTGCAGTATATGCACCTCCCATTGAATAGGTTTTTCCAGAGCCAGTCTGCCCATAGGCCAGGACAGTTGCATTGTATCCTAGCAAAATACAAGTCACATGCATAGTGTTGTGCAAATATTTTCACCAAATCAATATACTCCATTTCCTTTTTCCTACTCCATTTTATTACTTGTAATAAAATTGAGATTGTTCTCTCAAGACAAACTCTTAGGAATAGCAGACACAAAGAAAAGCTTTGTTAAGGCCTTGACTTTGCACTATTCAAAGTAAACAAATAACAACAAAAAAAAAAAACCTAACCCCAGATTTTGACCTCTCTTGAAAACTCCTAAGAGCTAGGATGTCAAATACTTAAAAGATAGTGAAGGTGGCTAAGCCATGGTAAAAAGCCACTGGGAAATTTATAATCCTACTATCTCCCTATCTTGAGCAATTCTAAATTATGGGAATTAAATGAAAAACTTAGAAACTACATAAATAGAAAGGATTCTAGCATGTATTCATTTGATTAAGATAGTCTTCATTTGAAAAGGCAACAACATTGTTTTTTACAATTGATGAAAATATCCATTCCCTTTCTGAACTCAAGGAATGTACCTGGTTGATATTATCAGGCTCCTCACTAAAATATTATCATTGAAGTATGATTCAATGTAATATATATCCTTTGTTTTTATAGAGGATTGATAAAGAGCCACCTATTCAAAGATGTTCATGACATAATTACTCAAAAATAGCAGGTAAAGCAATTGTTAAGTGTAAGTGTAGGTACTAGAAACAATCAAAAGGATATATAAATGATTAACATTCTGATATTTATCTTTAAATAACAGGATGGTAAGTGATTTTTTTGGTTTTTTTTTCCTTTCTACTTGTTTGTATTTTCTAAATTATTAAATGGAACGCCCATTGAACAATCATTGTGTTTTCTGTTGGTACCTATATAATCATGACTGTTAAATTTCTGTTTGAGTTTAGATTCAGTAAAAGTGTTTATTTTATAGATCATTTTTTATATTTTCTCTTGTCAGAGAATCCAGATTACTAGTTACTTAGACATTCTCCTTTTATCCCTTAAGTTGAAAGTTATGATTGAAATTAAACCCACCTAACAACTATAGCAAGATTTTAAAAATTAACAATTAGACAATAGATGGGCTATTCTCAGCTTAACTTCAATATTTATAATTCATTAATTAATGATAAGATCTAGCTACTAAAACTGTAAGCATAGCACCTAGAAGGAACACTAAGTCCAAATTTACTTCAGGTGAAAAAATGTGACCTTAGGGAGATATCTCTTATTAGAGTGGTAGACATGTTCTAAAGGAAGATAAAACAAGCTTTCTGTGTTAAATAATCACATTTTTATCAAAACCATTACCTACCATTTATCAAGATAATTTTGGAATCTAAAGGAAAAACTTTTAAGTTTTGAAACAATGTGTTAACCTAAATGATAAGATTGAAGTTTTGTGACATTTATGCCAGAACATCAGAAGATGCTAAATTGAAAGTTTTACTGTAATAGATTGCTGGTATCACCTGGCCTGACTCTGCGGCAAGAGGATAACATTCCATAATTTTCTGCAATACCACAGATATTTGTAGATAGGAACATCTTGGGAAACCAGGTTTCAGAACTTTCCATAAAATGCCTAAGTCTCTATAGTACCAGGAGTTTAGAGTATAAGAGGGTGTTGTTGAGGTGAATATGAAAAATAATGGGCTTTTGCAAATGAGGACAATGTTAACACCATGTATATTGCAATCACTTTTGACTTTATATCATCTTTATAAGACTATAATTTAATTTTCATAGTTTGCCAAGTTAAGAATATGGAAGTAAAACTATAGTACTCTTACTAAGTTATTAGTAAGAGTTATAATCTGAAGAAAATGATCACATAGTGAAGCTTCTGATTAACATCGTTTTAGGAACAGCTAAAGAAAAACAGGAATGGTTAATTAGAAAAGAATTAAACAGAACCATGTAACAGTCTTCCAAATATGTAAAAAGAAAAGATTGACTTTATAGTTGAGAAACCTGCCAGATTAACACCTTAATCAAATGATAAAAATGAACATCAACAGTAATGGAACAAATCAAAATTATCTCCTAACTGATAGGATTCAATGAGAAGAATACAGCATCACTCTTGTTATATGTCTACTAAAAGATACACAACCTGAATCTAATAAAAACATCAGACAACTAAAATTGAGAAATGTTTACACAATAACTAGCCTGTAATTTTCAAAAGTGCCAAGATTGGGGCTGGGGTTGTAGCTCTGTGGTAGAGTGCTCACCTCGCATGTGCAGGACCCTGGGTTTGATCCTCAGCACCACATAAAAATGAATAAGTAAAATAAAGGTATTGTGTCCAACTACAACTAAAAAGTAAATATTAAAAAAAGTGCCAAGATTATGAAAGGAAAAAAAAAGGACTCAGGAATCATTTTATAATGGAGACTAAAGAAGCAGGACAGCTAAATCTAAAGACATGTGTGATTTTGAACTAGATCTTTTTATTTCTATAAAGAATACTATTGAGAAAGCTTGAATGGGGCTTTGAAGATTAGATGGCATTAATGTGGCAATACAAATTTCATGAGTATGATAATTATAGTGTGTTACCACAATTAAGTTACCTTAGAAGAAAGTCCCTCTTTGTAGGAAATACACACTAGCGTTAGGGGGTCATCAGGTCAACAAGTCATCTCAAATGGTTCAGGAAAAAAGTTCTTTATACTAGTCTCACAACATTTCTATAAGCTTAGTATCCTTAACCTTTGAAGCAAAGTGTTCAATGTGCACTGAGCCATGACCATTTTTAAAAAGGTGAATATATATGTTAATAGCTGTTTTCTGTAAAAAAAATTCTGCTTATCTAGAGGGATGAAGTAACATCACTGTGTAGAAATTACTGAGAAATAAATATCTTCTCAATATAAAGATCTAACACAAACAAAGATATTCAAACACCACATTTCAAGCAGACTACCCTATGAGTCTGTGAGTTCCCTGTTAAGAAAAAAAAAATTAACCAGTCACTAGAAATTAACCTAACAGTTATTATTAGAAAGCATTTTTCTATTGAATGGAAAGTTAAAATAAATTGTGTACAAATGAACATTTCTACTTTGAGTCACCATGGTTCTACTTCTTTTAAATGAATCTTTATTTTGTAACTTGAATAACCATTGTACTAGAATAACAATGAGACATTTCTCAGGTACTCCTCTCTTTTAGAACCCTGCCCTGGTCTTCAACATTAAAACCTTAGCTTCTACAATAAAGATTATTAACTAGCCATAGTATTCAGGGGCTTAAGGAAATCTCCTTCCCCACCTCAAAGAATTCTCATCATTCAAGACCTATATCAAAGCTTCCCTATTCTGTGAAATTCACCCCAAATCCCCCAAACAGGATTAGTGTCATACTTTTTTCATACCATTTTGTATGACAGTAGTGCTAGTTCTGTAGCAGGACTGACTCTGTGGTATATTTTTAACTTTAAAAATATTTTTCTTAAAGGTAGGTGCAATAAATTTGTTAAAAATTTTATGAATTAAAATTATTTATGTAGTCATCTATCTCTTCTGGACTTTGAACTTCTTCAGGGCCTGGAAGCTATATTATTTATCTTTGAATGAATAATACTGAATGAATACTGAGGCCTGACTGACACTCAAGCAGGTTGGCACACTGATCACTCACCAAAGACCTTATTGTACTCCAGTGAGGTTCCAGGCAAATGAAAAAATGTACACATTAAAGATGAACAGAACCACAGGATACAAACACAGTATAAATCTAGCTTTGAGAGTAGAGAGACTTTTACGAATGTTTCTAGGTTTCACAAGTGTTATTAAGCTGTGGGCTTTTCGAAGGCAGGAATCACATTTCATCCAATCCTATATTTGCAGTGCCCAAGCATGGCACAATGTATATGCTCAAGAAATGTTCGGCAAAGTAAATAGCCTCACCTTTAAAAATGCCTTTTATGAGTGGTGCTACTGCTGTATTGAAGACCTCTTCTTGTTCAGTGGAGGGGTCAAACACAAAATCATAGGTAAAGGATTTATCAGTACCAACGACCACCTACGCAAGGCAAGGGACAAGATGTAAGGGAAAAAAAAATCTAGGCCACGCCCCTCGCTGCCATTCAGCCCCAGCTGTTCACAAAGGAGCCCAGGACTTTGCTACGCACCTGAGGCTCCCCCGGCACGAAGGAAAGGCACATCTGACAGCCCTCGTTAATCTCTTTAGGGACTAGAGGGCGACAACGCAGTGCCACCCTTACAGGAATTCCCTTCACCTCTTCCTTCATCATCCTAGCTCAGCACCGTCTCTGCAGGGGAGAAAAACAGCTTTCTGATGAATCTTGGTATGTAGGCAGGGGTAGGAGTACCTCCAGGAGGGTGGGAGCGTTGGAAAACTCAGCCTTAGCCATGGCAGCCTCCCCTCCCAAGGGATCGCTGCCCCAGATTACTGTTGGACTTGACCGCGACTGAACCGCCGGTCAGCCCGACACTCGGAAGAGTGAAGTGGCATTTAAAATGAAAAGAAAAACGAACCCAGCGACAAATAACAAAGTCCCAAGGTAAAGGGAATGGTAAAATCTGAGCTAAGATGTGCCCCCTTAACTCACCCAACTAAACGTCCCTTTCCCCGGTCTTCCCCGGTCTCCAGGCGCCCTGTTCCAACTGGAGCTTTAACCGCCAAGTTTCAAATCGGTTCCAGAGGCGCCAGCCAATCGGAGCGCAGATAGCTTGCAGGCAGAGCACACACGTCGGCGCGCGCAGGCTGACGCGTTAGGGAAAGGAAGGCAAGTTGGTCGCAGCCAGGCCCCGCCCCTTTTCGACCCTACTGAGGATCTGCTTCCGGTTCCCAGGTTGTTTGGCTGTGAGCCGAGCCAGGGGAGGGTGAGGACTTCGCGGCTGCTGAGGTGGTTCGGTGTTTAAGCGGTGGTGAGCGCGGGACTTGGGCGGAATGCAGGACGGGGAGCTGGAAGGTGGCTGGTGGTGAAGGAAGAGTCAATCTGGGGATCTCCAGAGAGCGTGGAGCGGTGCTTGTCCCGGAGTCCCTTTGAAGAGCTGAAGTCAGCACTCCCCTGGATCTCAAAAGTAGATCTTTTTAGACGCCACTCTGATTTCCTCTTCTCTAGGATGAAGACAGTAATAACTGTTTTGCTGAATTGTTGTGGAAAATGAGATCATGTCTCTAGAATACCTAGCAGTGTTTGGCATCCAGATATTTATCAAAGTTAATAGTTTCTTCCTATCTTTTTTCTTCCTTCGGTCCTCCAAATCTTAAAATCTAGATGTGGGCTAGACCCATAGACTGATAGCCTTGGAATGGGTTGGAGCTGCTTGCTGAAACTTTGGGCTGCTATCTCTTTTGAATTACTTGTCGGCCTTGATTCGCCTTTTCTTTTCAGGGTCTTGCCTGAGATGGACAGCAGAATTCCTTATGATGACTACCCTGTGGTTTTCCTGCCTGCCTATGAGAATCCCCCAGCATGGATTCCACCTCATGAGGTGAAAACCATCAGTATTCCTGAGTAGGGAATTTTTCCCCTTGGTTGTGATATGATGTATAAAAGGTAGAATGACAGTGTTAGAAAGCTAAATGGAGAATGAATCTTAGCCCTTGTTTTAGCCAAAGGACCCAGAAGCCAAATTATTAGCATCAGAGACCAAATGAGAACTTCTTATGGAAGCCACTTGCTGGGGTCTGTTCACACCAGTGAATTCTGGAAATCCAGCCCTAGTTTCCATACTGTCAAGAGGTAAAGAAGTGGGGAGCTATAGAGCTATTAGCGTATCCCCATGCTAAACATCTACTTATTTCAGTAATGTTTATCTGTTCTACTTAAACTAAGTCTATGACTTTACCTTTTCTTGACTTCAAGATGATGCATTAGTATTAATCAAAAGATGGTAAATGTGACATCTAAGCTGGTAGTAAGATTTCTGAGGACTGGGGTTGTGGCTCAGTGGTAGAGCACTTGCCTAGCACATATGAGGCACTGAGTTCCATCCTCAGTGCCACATAAAATAAATAAATAAATTCTAAAAAAAAATTCTGAGATTGTTTTGTCTTGCAGAGAGTATACCACCCAGACTACAACAATGAATTGACCCAGTTTCTGCCCCGAATTGTCACATTGAAGAAGCCTCCTGGAGCTCAGGTGAGCCATGGAGCCTCTTATTCCAGGCTACATTTGTGCATACCACAAGCTGGCCATGGTTGGGAAATGGATTGGAAAGCAGATGGGGAGGTGAGGAAACTTCCTTTCTTATGGCTAGAAAAGCTGAGCTACCATTTCCACAACTTCTCATTTCCCTCTGAGGAACACATGAGCCTAGCTATTTTACTGTGATGCTACTAGAAATTCTGTGTGTTCGTTGTCTATGTTGAGCCCCCATTCCATGCTCTTGTCTTACAGTTGGGATTTAACATCAGAGGAGGAAAGGCCTCCCAGCTAGGCATCTTCATTTCCAAGGTATGTATGCCTGGTAGGCAATATGGACAGCCACTTCCTTTGTATATCAGATTGGAGTACCCTGATATCCCAAGGGCTAGTGGGCTCTTAGAATTGGCAAAATGGGGACATCCCCTTTCCCACACAGAGCTTTGCATTTGGCAAGCCCTCTATCTCCCTACATTGTCACAGAAAAAAATAATAGCACATTACCTTTGAATAGCACTAAATTTCACCTGCAGTCTTCTGAAATTACCCCATCCCAATCACACGTATTCTCTACTAACAGGTGATTCCTGACTCAGATGCACATAGAGCAGGACTTCAAGAAGGAGACCAAGTTTTAGCTGTGAATGATGTGGATTTCCAAGATATTGAACACAGCAAGGTGAGTACAGTACTTTAACTGTGGTGATGACAGAAGCCATCCCAGGTAGGACAGGTTGGACAAGATTAATGTAAACATGTAACATGATAAGAAAGCATCTCTCCTAGGGAAATGTACCAGAGGGATGGAGTGGCACATCCCCTCCCCCATTATGATTGAGTCCTGGGTTTTTTTCTCGTCATTGGTACAAGCTTCTGTGTTCCTTCCAGGCTGTTGAGATCCTGAAGACCGCCCGAGAAATCAGCATGCGTGTGCGCTTCTTTCCCTACAGTAAGTGCCAGTTTCTTTTTTACTTACCTGACAAAACATTGATGACTGAAAGCCCCAGATGTTGGGATGGGAAATCAGGAGCCCACGCCTGAAAATAACATGCTCTGTTCCTCCTTTTCTTTCTTCTTTCCCACAGATTATCATCGCCAAAAAGAGAGGACTGTGCACTAGAGTTGCAGCCTATGGCCCTCCATGTGGAATCTGCCAGGACAAACTAGCTAGGCCCAAGGGAAGCCACTTGGGAAGTCTACTCTGAGCCATTCCCTACCATAGTGGGGTGGGGAGGATAGAGAGAAAGTTGCCAGCTTTGTTACCCAAACTGTACTGTACTTTTAGTTCCCTAATTTTCTAGGCAAGCTTTATTCTCTGAAAGGAACAGGATGAAAATGTCTAAGTATAATCTAGCCTGTGGGGAACCTAGCTAGGAATGGCAACTGACATTTATTGGTTACCATGGGCTTAGTACTTATACATCTTTATCATTTTAATTATAGAAATAAGTTAGAAAATATTTGGAACTTTCCATCTGATTGCCTGGCCATTTCATCTATCCTTGTACTATCAGAATTGTCATACATGTTGGGTACTCCAATAAGACACTTTTGTCCCTTCGTCCTCCTATCATCTCCCCCCAAATGTAAAGTACAGTACTGAATAAATGTTGTTGTAACATTTGAATGATGCTGATTGGATATAAGGTGCCGTTGAGGCACAACAAAGCTTTTTCAAAAGAGAAGCACTGGAAGAATCAGTAACACTATACCTACTTTCTAACTGTCTATGTCTGGCCAGAACTTTAGAGAGGCCAAGCAACCTGAGCCACAGTATAACCAAGGAATAGCATTGGGTGAAGGATACTGTAAGAAACAGTACCCTTTCCCCTGGGAGCTTTGGAAATTTCTCTGCAGGTAGAATATAATTTTCCTCCTTTCCCAGATTCTTTATCTGGAACCTAAACCCAGGAAGGAACTTAGATGCATGTGGACTTTTGTTTGTTTTGCAGTGCTGAGGATTAAATCCAGGGCCTTGTATACACTAGGCAAGTACTGTGCCACTGAGATACCTCCCAGCCCTTTTTTTATAAACTTTGAGAAAGAGTCTCACTTAAGTTCCCCAGGCTGGCCTTTGGTCCTCCTGCCTCAGCATCCTGGGGATTACAAGTATGCACCATCACACCTGACTAAATCCATTTCTTTTTAGAGGCAACAGTTAAGAAGTTGGTTCCCAGTTTTCAACCTGTAGGTTAAGTAGTAGTAACTGTGAACTTCCCTCTTTTTTCCACTCAAGTCCCAAATAACTTTCTGCCATGTTCTTAGATATTTCATTGCAATCCATTGTTTGAGATTTTAGGTCATACCTATGCTGCCTCCACTGGCATGTTCAAAATACCTATTTGGAATTTTAAAGGTTTTCTAGTGAGGTAGGGGGCAAAGTACCCCTGTGATTAAAGCCCAAAATTTTCCTTGAAAGAATCTAGGTGATTTTAAATATGTATTTCTAGTTATTTCTCCTGGAGAGTGATTATATTGCTCTGAATTAGAACCTGGAAATCGGAATTTTTAAATAGGAAAGATAAATAAGCCTTGAGGTCTCTGAATTAATCTTCACCCTCTTCTGTAGACATTTGTATAGACAATGAGAAATGATGAAAAGGGCCAAACGATGATAACCTAGAGTTAGTGGCTAGAGATAGATACTTCTGAGGGGAATAATGCTTCCCTGGGACCAGGAACCCTAGAAACCTTGAACCTATGACCTTTCTAATCCCTGGTATCTCCTCCCAAAGTAAACAGCACAGTAGACACTCCCCATAGAGATTACAAGTTAAGTGTGCCAGAAGTTTTAGTTACATTTTGTTCAGAACAGTCTTATTATTCTCCAACATGACAACAACATTGGAATTCAGATTTTTAGGTTCTGCCCATTCAACTTCTACCCTCTTGTCTGTGTCCTTGAAAAAATTGATGCCTATAAGAGAATACGTTGCAGAGTGTTGACACACTTGGTAGAGGTTTAGAGAGAATAATGTACTTGTCCTTTCTTTGCTAGTCATACCAATCTCCCTGTTGCTTCCCTCACTACCCACTTTTTCAAATAAAACATCCCATTATACCCACTTATGATGTCATAGATAAACACTGTAATAGTTGAATCACAAATGTAGCTAGAATTAAGGAGCAAAAGCACTCCTGGCCAGCTATGTCCCATAACTGTTGCTGAAGCTGCTTAAAAAAATGTTTAGGATGAAGATGAGAAAAGGTAGAAAGAGACCAGACATTTAAGATCTAAAACTTAACAAAAACAGGATGAAAAGAGTCAAGAAGGCTGGGTAACTGAAAAGTGACTGCTACAACTTCAGAACTAGTGGTCTACAGTCTTATAACAAATCCAACCAATCTCAAGATACTGTTTGGATTAAGGTAGACCCTATTAAAGAAGAACAGCAGTTTTAATGATTCAAGACCACTTGAACTTTATATTACATTTGGAGATTTGATAAGGGCAAAGAGAACAAGAACATAAGAACAAGAACATAAGGCTTGGTAATTTCAGGAAGCTTCAATTTTTTTTTCTTTTCCTTTATTGACAGACGATGTGTAGAAGTGCTACCCTACTATGATGAGTAGACCTAAGGGGTTTAGATATAGGGTTAGTGGTATGAGCTTAACAATCACTATTTGGTCATCCAGGTACTTGGTCTTAGACAGAAAATCAATTCCAATGGTTGTCTGCAAAAGAAGCAAATGCACTTTCTGAACTCACCCTGTAACCCCAATATCAGGCAGTCTAATGGCCATTGAGGAGGTTGTCCTGGTCCAGTTTCCCAGTGTTTACAATAGATAACTGAGGGAAGAGAATCCCCAGGTGAGTTGGTTAAGGAAAGGGGCAAAAATGTACCATATGACTTGGTGGTAGGCTCATTTGGCAGATGCAGTCACAGCTGTCATTCTTGAAGTGGGTGATAATGGATATCTTCCCCATTGCAAGATAGATAAATAGGTCAACTTCCCCTCAGAGTCTCTACAAACTCGCCCCCCAACACATATGCTTCAAACTTTACCAACAAGGAGAAACTCACTTCCCAGAGAAATCCCCCCAGCCCCAATCCCATTTCTTACCATTCACACCTTCCTATTTATAACTTCCTATTCCTAAATTCCTATCCCAGATCCTCACTGCTTTGTGAGTCTGGATTTTCACAGAGCCTTTTGTTTTCCCTTGGTCTCCAGGCCAAAGTGTCTGACCTTCCTCTGGAAGACCAAAGACATACATCTTTGCAGGATAGTGGTGGGAGTAACACTGGCTTCCTGCATTAGGCCCTGCATCTCCTGATATTACACTGGGCTCTCCCCTACAACAGCTTGTGACAGCAGGCTTGGCTACATACCCAGGCCTGGGCACAGCCACGCCACCTCAGCTTCCTCCCTACAGCTCCTACATTGCTTGTGCCTGATGCTAGTTGGTGCTCATTGCACTGGGGTGATGTCAAGAGTAGGGTGATGGGGTGGGGGTAGGGATGGCTACAGTCAGAGAAAAAGCTGAAGGACCCACAGGGGACAGGAGGCTTGTCAGAAGGAATCCAGGAGTCCAGGTGTCTAGTAGGGGGAAACGTGCTTAGGTTAATCTCATCATGGGGGGGCAGGGAAATCCTTATCAGTAGTTCTGTTACCCTCCAGGAGGAGGAAATAGCAAAGAAAGTGACAGGCACATCTGGACAAAACGATTTATTAGAGTTACAGTGGGAACTCCCACGCAGGAATATCAGATCTGGGCACTCAGCTCCCCTCATCTCCCTCCTCTGCCAAAGCCTTCTGCTTTTCCTCCCCGCCGTCCTCCTGCCGTGCAAATTCCTCAATGACGATGTCCTCAGAGCTTGCAGAAGCAGCAGAGGAGAATGGAGGGTTAGAAACTCCTTTCTGAATATCCTCCAGGTTCACTCCCTTTTCTTGATCCCCTCCCTAATCCCTTTCCTGATTGTTTCATTTCCTCTCAGATCCCCCAACACAAAAGCACTCCAGGAATATTGGGAAGGAAATAAGAATGGAGGAGGATGGGACTCAGGGAAAGGATTAGAGAATGAAAGAAGGAAGTAGGGATTAGGGAAAAGGGGAAAAACTGAAAGGGATGAGTGGAAAGGACAATTATAAGAAGAGGATCAGGTAGAAGGTGGGTGATGCAGAAAGAGGATGGTTTATGAAAAGCCCTGAACTATGACATGGAGTTAAACCATATGTATCCACTGCAAAGGTATTGAAAACAACATCTTTGGGAAGCTTTTTTACATCCCTATCATCTCAAAATGTTGGGTAGCAATTAGCAATAGAGGGGGAATGGGGCCTGTTCCCTTACCTTGTGGCCTCTGTAGCAAGCATGGGAGAAAGAGAAAAATGGAACTGAAGCTGATAAGGGCATTTTAGTTCCCTGAAGAAAGGTCTTTACTCTTCCTTCCCACATGTTTCCCCTGAAATCCTAGACACCCAAACTATTACTGTTCTATTTCTACCCAAACCACTGGACTCCAGGTCATGAGATCAGATCTGCTTGGTCCCCAACCCTCAGGACAATAGTTCCTGTAATTCGCCCCTGGTCACTTACCTTGAGATGGCTTTGGGTGGATCAGGGTCAGCGGCAACTCCACACCAACATCACTGCAAGGATCCCAAGGTGGAGTTATTTATCCTCTAAGCCCAAACCTTTTGACCTCCCTCCCTCAGTTTTCCAGTTCTAGGATGCCTTCAGACTTTTTAAAAAATATATGTATTTTTTAGTTGTAGTTGAACACAATACCTTTATTTTATTTATTTATATGTGGTGCTGAGGATTGAACCCAGGGTCTCACACATGCTAGGCGAGTGAACGCTCTACCACTGAGCCATAACCTCAGCCTGCCTTCAGACATTTATTAGTCACTCTTTGTCTTCTTATCCCTTTATTCTCCCCTTCTTAACTCCAGTCCTCTTTCCCCACAGTTTCTCACCTGGCTGTCAGATCTCCTAGGATTCTGTAGGTAGAATGACACCCAAAATTAGCAGTTGGAAATGGGAAGAGGCTACCTAGTTTTACTAGGGGGTGACAATCATAAAGCCAACTCAGCCACAGAATGGTTTCTGCAAGGAAGGTGACTTGCTCACTGAGCTTACAGGTTTGGGAACTTAGTCCAGGAGAAGGGGAGAGAACTTGTTGGATTAGTCCAATCATAAGAAAAACAGAAGCAAGAAACCCTTGGCTCCCCAGCTTCTGCCCAGATCATCCCTGAACCCTCACTTACCCTCCACAGGATACCATCAGGTTGACTCTGACTTTGTAGGACACCAGGATCCCCAGTAGCTCCTTGTTCATTCCAGGTCGAACACTGGAAGTTGTAATATCCAATTTTGTGTGTTTGGTTGGGAAGGAATTCTTTCATTCCCCAAGTTCCTTCCTGTACATTCCCATCACCACACCCTATTTTGTCTTCTCCCAGAATATCTCCCAGGGTCAAATCTTTCCTACCTTTGAGAACCACATTTTTCTTCCTGAAATTCAGTTTACCATATTACCCTCTATTCAAGAGCCTACCTTATTGAATATAACTACTCTGTTTGACTTTCAAGACTCACAATAATCTGGCCTCATCTATCTTTCTAAACTTTTGTGCCTTAACTCTCTAGTACCTGGGATAAATTGTAGACAGATCCATCCTCTCTCTATAACCTAAAAATGCCATGTGGAGTCCCACCTTTTAGCCTCTGCCCATGCTGTGGTCCCAGTCTGATGGTATCCAGATCTTATATATTCTTCAAGATATAGATCATTCTGTCTCTTATAAGAACCCCTTGCCAGCTATGTTGGCTTCTTTTAACTTCTATTGGCCTCATAATCTGAACCACATGTATTAACATTTAACTGTTAGATTGCATTTGCATTCCTATTTGTTCCTCACGTAGGCCATCTGAAAGCAAAGACTCAAATTTCTTTGTATTCCCCACATTGCTTAGATAGGAATGACCATTTAACAGGTGCCCATTAAAAACCTGCTGTTTGAAAACTAAGACACTGGAAGCTGCATAATCTTGGGAAAGTATCTTCATTGCTCCGGGCTGCTGATCCCCTCTCTGGAAAAGGATATTGTTTGGATGATTTCTAGGGTATTTATAGCAATAACAGTCTATAGCTACTTGATTGATAAGGCTTTGTTATAGATGGGATTTATGCTCTTCAAATGGCTTTTGGTGAGAGTCACATTTAGTATTAGGCCCTCAGGTAGCATAGAACCAATTGAATGACATCACAGAAATTATATCAGTTCCTCTCATATCATTCTTTTTCATCCTCATCCTCATTTCTCATCTCCTTGTTTTCTACTCCATTTCTGTCTTCTCTAGAGAAGAGTGTTTAGGGCCAGATGACATGTAACAGAATGCTGTCTACCTCTGTTAGACAACGTTGGACAAGAGCCTTCTCTCTGAGCCTCAGGGTTCTTAAGTGGAAAATGGAATAAGAACACCTGTCTAGCCTACTTTAATGAGATTCTTATGAAGATAACAGTACATATGTAAGGCCTTTGTGAAATGTGAGATATTATACAATACAAAGATTTTTTTCCACTTCACATTTCCTTCTTTACTGCCTAAAACAGTTGGTCCCATGGGTGTTTTTCACTTGCTGCAGGCTCTCAGGCCAGGAAGGGTTTTGAACATCAGCCTAGGGGCATTTAAAAAAATACAGGCTTCACTGAACGTGAAACTTTAGAAATATTTATATAGCATGTGGAATGGGTTAGGGGTTACATTTGAGCTTACATTGTGCTAGAGGCCAGATTGGTATCTTCATGCTTGAGTTTGCCATCCAGTGCCAGTCCCTGTCTCCGACAGTTGGCAGACAAGAGTGGTGTTACTGAAAAGCTCTGGGTGAAGCTGGAGTTAGCAGCTATGGTCTCCCTTTGAAAGAAGAACAAGAGAAGAACTTAGGCTAGGTTGGTCAACTAAGTGTACTTTCATTACTAAGGGTATTATGCACAATTCTAAGAACCTACTGGGGTATCTAAGAGAAGTGACGTATTTAACTGTGAAAAGAGGCAAGAATTAGTTCTGTTTTTTTTTTTTTTTTTTTTTTTTTTGTGATACTAGGGATTGAACCCAGGGCCTTGTGCATACGAGGCAAGCACTCTACCAACTGAGCTATATCTCCAACCCACAAGAATTTGTTCTAGTGAGAAGTCCTATGTATTATACAATACAATCTCTCTTAGTATTGTGATGGTCCTCCTATGGGTAAATCACATCCCCTCCCTCTACTTCTCCTGAGAGTCCTTCTATACTTAAGCTCTCACCTTGACCTTTATTCCTGGGTACCCCCTCTTCTTCTTTCTCCAACCCTCTTCTCTGCCTCTTGGTCCATTTCCCACCATCCCGTCCCTTGGCTTTGACCCCAGCCCCAGTGTCAGCTCACGTGAACTCCTGAATGAACACAGTCTTGGTGTACTTGTCTAGTGAATACAGGACAACATCTGTGATCTGGTCAACTGAATAAACCAGAAAAAGCATATGACTGTTCAGCCAGTTATCCTCAAGACCCCAACTTACTGTCCTCAAATGAAATGTTATACATGATCACCCTATACATGATTCAATAAGATGTGTTCATGGGCAAAGGTATATATTTTGATAAACCTATGTTGGAGGGAAAGCTAAGATGAATTCAGACCGGTAAGTGGGAATGAAAGACAGTTGTGGTTTGGGGGCTAGGTGCAGGGCAAGGGAAAAGAAGCTCACCTGAAATCTTGATTTTTTTGATGACCTTACTGGTGCTATTATTGATAGAAACGTTGACAGAGATGGGTTCTCCATGGTAGTGAACCTGAAGCAGGAGGAGAGGCCCATCACAAGTTAGTAGGGCGAACACCCAGATCAAGACCTGGAATTTCTGTTTTCTTAGTACAATTCTTGCCCTGGCTTTTACCTCTGCCTACCCAAGTAGGGAAGCAGTGAAGAAAGGATAACAGATGGGTTCTGGAGTTGGGGCAGGAAGTGGGGATTACCAACCTCCTTGTCCATCCAGGCCTGGAGTTGTAGGGGCTGAACTGACAGAAGGAAGCGACGAATGGTCTGGGCCCAGGGTCCAGGGCCTGGCTCCATTGGTGCAAACTGTACTTTCCGAACAACCAACCTCACAGAGTCTCTGAATAGAGGTGAAGGAGTTAGCCAGAACATCTTTTGGAACCATAGACCTCCCCATGACACCCCCACAGTCAAGTCATTGCTTGGGTGTTGGGATAGCAGAAGGTCATCATAAATATGCAGCCATATTTATTCATTTATGTAGTATTTATGACTGCTTTTCCACTACATTGGCAGAGTTGCATAGTTGCAACTCAAACTGTATTGTATGTTCCACAAAAACTAAATATTTATTTTTTGACCCTTTACATAAAATTTTGCAGACTCCTGCCCTAGAGTGAAGAAGAAAAGCCAGAGAGGATTCAGAACTGGGCATCCAAGTTGGTGGCAGTGGTGCTCTGGAGGTTAGAAGTAGGGCTGTTTCTGTGGTAAGAGCAGTATGTGTTTCCTGGGAGGGGCTGGAAGCAGTGATTTGGGGAAATACTAAAGAATACCTCTTGGAGACTTTTTCCTCCAGGTTTTCAGCACAGAAACTCTTCACTTCAAAGTCAACCCCACAAGCCTGGAAGGTGCAGAGGCAAAGAGAATTCATTTCCTATGCTGTTTCTCCCTCCCTTTAGGGCCTATAAGAAAATGTCCCATCTTATCCCTTACCTGTCCATCTCTCCAGTCTTATCCATTTGTCTCTCTGTTCCTCCTCCCTAGCACTACCCCTGTAGCCCTCTGCTATAGTTTGGATCTAAAATGTCGCCCAAAGGCTCATGTGTTAAAGGTTTAGTCCCCAGCCTATGGTACTATTAGGAAGTGGTAGAACATTTAAAAGTTGAGGCCCTAGTTGGAGGAAGTTAGATCATTGGGAACATACCCTTGAAGGGGATATTGAGACCCCAGCTCCTCCTTGTTTCTTTTCACTTCCTTGACACTGAGGTGAACAGGCCTCCTCCACTATGTGCTCCTATGATGATGTATTGTGCCACCACAGGCTTCCCAAGCACCTGGGCCATGTGACCATGGACTGAAACCTCTGAAACTATGAACCAAAATAAACCTTCCCTCCTTTTAAGTTGATTATTTTAGGTCTTTTGTCACAGTGACAAAAAGGTAAGTGGTAAAGCCTCTTTCTCAAAACTTAGACCTCACCTTTCCAGAATCTTCAGGACCTGGCTGCAGTGTCACTGAACAGGGCAGATTGGCAACCATCTAGGGAACCAAAAGGAGGTCAGTGAACAGAAAAAATAGGGAGTCCCCTCTTATGTTCTATTTCTTTAGGTTTCTCTCTTAATCTTCCCCAGAAACCCTGCCTAGGAATTGGTGTCAGTACCTGCAGGGTAAAAGGATAGGCATTTTCCCCCAGCTTGTGCAGCAGCCGCTCCTGTAAGACTGTGAGGGGACCCTGTGGGTTGTTGGACTCAGCTGGAACCACTTGCTGTGTCAGTACATACAGATCTTTGCGGAATGTCAGACCAATTACATCCAAGTCATCACGGCCATAGCGAAATGCACATGTCAATATGACAAACACTACAGGCAAAGGAAGAAAAGAATTACCTGTCAGACCAGTGGGAAAGGAGATCTTAACTGGGTCATAGTAAGATACAGAGAGGCAGTGTAATATAGTCAAAAGAGTATGGCCATAAACAAAAAGATTAATGTACTTGAATATAATAAAATCTAAAGTTTATTAATTAATTAATTTTTGCAGTAAGGAAGATCAAACCCAGGAGTGCTCTACCACTGAGCTTCATCTCAAGCTTTTTTTTTTCTTTTTTTTCCGAGACAAGTTCTCACTATGTTACTGTGGCTGGCCTCAAACTTGCCATCCTCTTGCCTCAGCCTCTCAAGTACCTGGGATTACAAGTGTGTACAACTGTGCCTTGCTAAATTGCTGAGGCAAGGTTTGAACTCATGATCCTCCTGCCTCATCCTCCCAAATCATTGGGTTACAGGTGTGCACCATTGTGCCCAGCTTTAGGTGTTGAAATTTAATAGTCAGATGATCTTTAAGAGGTGATTAAGTCATGAGCATTTCTTCCCTTGTGAATGGGATTAAGGGTCTTATTAAAAAACCTTCATGCAGCATTCATCTCTCTTGCCCTTCTGCCTTCTGCCATGTGAGGACACAGCATTTCTCCCTCCAGAGGATACAGCAGCAAGGCACCATTTTGGAAGCAGAGACTAGCCCTCACCAGATAACTGAGCCTGCAAAACCTTGATCTTTTTCTAGCCTCTAGAACTGTAAGAAAGTAAATTTCTGTGCCTTATGTATTACCCAGTGTCACGTGTTTTGTTATAGCAGCACAAGTTGTCTAAGACACATATTAACATGGTTAAATCTCAAAAACTATTGAGTAAAAATGCTAGCTACAACATCGATGTTCATAGCAGCACAATTCACAATAGCAAGACTGTGGAACCAACCTAGATGCCCTTCAATAGACGAATGGATTAAAAAAATGTGGCATTTATACACAATGGAATATTACTCTGCATTAAAAAATGACAAAATCATAGAATTTGCAGGGAAATGGATGGCATTAGAGCAGATTATGCTAAGTGAAGCTAGCCAATCCCTAAAAAATAAATGCCAAATGTCTTCTTTGATATAAGGAGAGTAACTAAGATCAGAGTAGGGACGAAGAGCATGAGAAGAAGATTAACATTAAACAGGGATGAGAGGTGGGAGGGAAAGGGAGAGAGAAGGGAAATTGCATGGAAATGGAAGGAGACCCTCAGGGTTATACAGTGGAGGGGGTAGAGAGAGAGGAGGGGAGGGGAGGGGAGAGGTGGGGAGGGGGGATGGTGGAGGATGGGAAAGGCAGCGGAGCACAACAGACACTAGTATGGCAATATGTAAATCAGTGGATGTGTAACTGATGTGATTCTGCAATCTGTGTATGGGGTGAAGGTGGGAGTTCATAACCCACTTGAATCAAAGTGTGGAATATGATATGTCAAGAAGTTTGTAATGTTTTGAACAACCAACAATAAAAAATTAAAAAAAAATGCTAGCTACAGAATTATATGCAGAGTATGTTACCATTTATACAAAGTTTAAAATAATTTATAACAATATCAAAGTTGATCACAGATACATAAATATGGTTTTGAAATATAGAAACATCATGAGAGTAACAAACACCAAATATGGGGTAGTAGTTACCTGGGGAGAGGAGAGAAGAAGAATGAGTGTGGGAGGGAGGTAGCAAGATAGGATTAGGGAAGGATACATAAGAAAAGAGAGTGAATATGATTTATGGTCAGAATACCTGGGTTTGAACAGGATATATACAAATTCATTGAGTATTTTTCTTGTCAGATAGGACTGCACTAGGAACTCTACATATGTTATTGAGACTTCACAACAATCCTCAAGTATTTTTTTAAGTTGTTCTTTTTTCATTTTCTTTCTTTTTTTGAACTGTGGATTGAACTCAGGGATTCTCTACCACTGAGCTACATCCCCAATCCTAATTATTTATTTTCTATGACAGGGTCTTGCCAAATTGCCCAGGCAGGCCTCAAACTTGAGATCCTCCTGCCTCAGCCTCCCCAATTGCTGGGATTCCAGATGTGCACTACTGAACCCAGCTCAAGTAAAGAAAACAAGTTCAGAATAGTTAAGTAATGGCCCAAAATTTCAACACATACCTGTCTACCTCCAAAGCCTAGAATTATGGGTGCCCAACTTCACTTATAGGATGGTTGTGAGAAGTTAATATATAAGAAATCCCTTTGGAAATTGTAAAGTGATTAGAAACATGAATGATGATGATGATGATAATAATGATGATGATGATAGGCATCTTGGCAGAAATGGAACAGTTATAATAGAACTCAAATTTTATATGTACTACTTGAAATTAGGGGCATATAGAAAGCCTCTGAAATGCACTAAGAGAGTGTGGGATGGGATAGAGAGGGTTGTCTAAAGCCAGAGTGACAAAAGAGATTCATTTCTATCAGAGGCCCTGACCCAGAAACTAGAAAACTACCAATAACCATGCACAAAATAGAAAATAACTTATTATAGTATTTTAAATAGATCAATATATTTAACACCAGATTATCTTCTTCTAAAAATAAGAATTAGCCAGATGTGTGACACATGCCCGTGATCCCAGCAACTTGGGAGACTGAGGCAGGAGAATAGCAAGTTCAAAGCCAGCCTCAGCAACTTAGTGAGACCCTGCCTCAAAAAAAAAAAAATGCTAGGGATATGGCTCAGTGGTTATGTGTCCCTGGGTTCAATACACAGTACTAAAAATTTTTTTAATATAAAAATTAAGAATAAGGGGATGAAGTTGTAGCTCAGTGGCTGAGCACTTTCCTATAGCACGTGTGAGGCACTGGGTTTGATCCTCAGAACCACATAAAAACAAAATAAATAAAGATATTGTGTTCATCTACAGACAAAAAAATTAAGAATTAAGAATGAGGAAAATAAAAGTGAATCTATACTCAAAAGATATAATAAAGACTGAGAATAATGATAATACCAGTGTTTTTATAAGAACTGGGATATTTGGCAGTATCATGTACTTCAGGATGTAGAGTTAATTGGTATGAACAATTTAGCAATAGGTATAGAAAGTTTAAAATTGCATGAATACACTTTATCCATTAATTCAGCTTATAGCCATTTAGTCTGAACAAGTAATCAGTATAAGTGTGTGTGTGCGCATACATATATACACATATATACATACTTACATACATACTGCACACACAAGGATGTGTTTTATAGCATTGTTTATAACAGTAAAAAATTGAAAGAGAAGTGACTGTCCAACAATTGAAGATTGTAAATACAGTTATGGTGAACTATAAGCACATTATGGTACACCCATATGATACAGTACCAGACAAAGAGTTACAGATTTTTATATATTGACATAGGTTTAAGAGATTGTTATAAAATGTTATTTATGGTATAGCATTTAGATAAAATATAGATGTGTTTGCACAGAAAGTATGAATAAGAACTAAAATATTATTGGAAATCATCCACAATTAAAGGTTATAGGGCCAGGCACAGTGGTGGCTTGGGAGGCTAAGATAGGAGAATCGCAAGTTCAAAGCCAGCCTCAGCAATGATGAGGTGCTAAGCCCCTCAGTGAGACCCTGTCTCTAAATAAAATACAAAATAGGGCTGGCGATGTGGCTTAATGGTCGAGTACCCTTGAGTTCAATCCCAATACAAAAAAATATATATAGAAAGGCTGGGCACAGTGGCAATCTCCTGTAATCCCAGTGACTCAGGAGGCTGAGGTAGAAGGATTGCAAGTTGGAGGCCAGCCTCAGCAATTTAGTGAGAGTCTGTTGCAATAAATAAATAAATAATAAAGGACTGGGGATGTGGCTCAGTGGTGCAGTGCCCCTGGATTCAATCCCTAGTACCACAGACAAAAAAAAAAAAAGTTATAAGATTGTGGCCTTCTAATTTCTAATATTTTTACAATTACGACAACAATTAAAGTGGCAGAAAGGAAAAAGAAAAGGGAAAACAAGGAATAAAGGAAAGGAAAAAAGAAGGTGAGAAGGAGATGAAAACAGATAGCCATGGGGCTGGAGCTATAACTTTGTGATAGAGAACACATTCAGCTTGTAGGAGGCCCTAGTTTGGATCCCCAGCACCAAAAAATAAAGATAGCTGGAAGAAGGCAGGAGGAGGGATGAAATACAAGAGATGAGGAATTAAAAAAAAAGGTCAGGACGGGTGAGGCAGAAGAGGATCTAGGGGCCCCTGAGGTGAGGGTGTTAACCAGATGAATTGTTCTTGGCACATCTTTCTGTGCCATGTAAGGAGGGCAGCAAAATAAGTCCTCAGCTCCTGTCCAAGCTCTAATTGGCTCTCAAGCAGTTTAGGATTAATCTTTTTTTTTGTGCCAGAAAATAGCTTGTTTTTATTTTCTTTTAAAAGCCAACATCTAAAGTTAACTTATTTTTTCTTCATTATAGGAATAATATATATTAATGTTATGAACATCAGAAAATACAATAAAAATCAAAGATCTATATAATATTCCAGAGATAACTGCCATTAATATCTGTTATATATACAACCCAACTTGTTTCTATATTTGAACACAAGCCAAACTTGGTTATTTATGATTATTTATGACTTCACTTTCATTGCCTTTGTGTGTGTGTGTGGGGGGGGTAGGTACTGAAGATTGAACCAAGGGCACTTTTCTCCTGAGCTTCATTCCAAGCCTTTTAAAATTTTTTCTAGACAGGGTCTTACTAAATTGCTGAGGCTGGCCTCAAACTTGTGATCTTTCTGCCTCATCCTCCTAAGTAGCTAAGATTACAGGTGTGTGCCACCATGCCCGGCTTTCATTGCCTTTTTAAAATCAAGCATTTTATTTTGTGATCACTGTAGGTTCATGTACAATTGTAAGAAATAGTATAGGGAGAGCCCAGATAGATTGTAGTTAAACAATAATTTGCTCATACCACTACATATCCTGATCTATTACTGGCCTTTATTACTCAGTGGTGTTGAATAAGCATATTTTGCATCCACAAATGCACCTTAATGGAAAAGCATATCAGAAAATATGATGTAAAGAAGATGATCTTCATAAGGTAAAAAAAAAAAACTACATAAAATAATTAGGATTAAACTTGAGAAACATGCACAATTCAAATGAATAATATAAAATTCTACTAGAAGGACATAAGAGAAGATTCAAATAAGGAAAAATACATCTTATTCCTGGCCTCAGCATGCATTCTTTACATTTTTGTTATTTAAAAGTAAAGATTTCTGGGGGCTGGGGCTGGGGCTTAGTAGTAGAGTGCTTGCCTTGCACGTGTGATGCACTGTGTTCAATCCTCAGCACCACATAAAAATAAACAAAATAAAGGTATTGTGTCCATCTGCAAATATATATAAATATAAATATATATATATATTTTTTAAAGTAAAGATTTCTTTCTATAGATTATTCTGAGGATTTTTAGGAATGTGAAAAATTATTTAGGTTTTAGAAATATAGAGTTTGGAGAATCTTAAAGTTGGTTAATTTATGGCTATACCCCAGGGTTTCTGTGATATTTAAAACTGGCCAGATTGCTTATCCACACTGCTTAATCTGAAAGATTAAGGCTAATTTATTCCTCAGTATCTAAAGGTTACATCTGAACTAGTATTCATCAACTTGCTGTGAACCTTTTTCAAATCAAACTCAATTCTCAGTCTAGTTGGATCACAGTGGGGTTAATCCATAGTGAGAATTAAAAGGAAAAAAATGCAATGAAAAAATATTTCATATAATCTTGATCTATAGTACTGCTGCCAGAGTAATATTTCTTGCTGTTATTTCCTGTGGTTATTTTGTTCCTTTGTTTAGGACTTTTTAAAAGGAAAGGTTAGGCGGTTTTCCAACACAAAAGGAGAGATGGAAAGACATATTCCAGAGGTTGCAAAATAGCAGGCTGAGGATCACATTCAGCCTCCAGAAAAAAGAAGTATTTTGATTTAGCCAGGCTTTTAATAATCATTTAGTGAGTTTCCAACATTTGAAAATCAGAAAATTTGCATAAAAATATGAATTTTTGGTGTACTAAATCATTCCATAGGCAGTCTAAACCCATGTTCAGATCAATAGCCAAGCAAGGGTACCACCAACAATGATGGAGAAAATAGAAATTTTCAAAAGAAACTGTTTTAATTTCAACACACATAAATTTTATATAATTTTGAGGAATAAAAATTTATGTTTTAGAAATGTATTTATTTCTAACATTATTTGGAGAAGGGGTACCACTGGGCTGGAGATATAGCTTAGTGGTAAAGTGTTTGCTTCACATACACAAGGCCCTGGGTTCGATTCTCAGCACTACCAAAAAAAAAAAAGAGAGAGAGAGAGAGAGAAGGGGTGCCATAATCTTTTCAGATTTGAGGCCTCTAAAGGTCTTATTCTGAGCTTTATTTCCAGTTCTTCTATAACAATGAGAAAATTTGACCATACTGGGCTGGAATTTCCAGTTGTTAGCCTCCATCAGATAAGGCATTCATAGTTCCTACTACTTTCTGGTTTTCCTACACCCTTCTGGTCTAGTCCACTCATCAGGTTATCTGTTTAACATGTATGACATTTCAGTTAGGAACCCCTGAAACAAAGACCGACAAAGATTTTTACTTACTCTTTCGACCTTTTAGGTACTCAGGGTCAACCAGGACTACACCATCTGTAGAGAGAGGGAGAGATGACACCCTGGTTAGAAAATTTCTCCAGCTGTGAAACAGAAGTTGATCCCTGAAATGGTTCTTCCCATTTCCCCTTCAATTGGCCCTCTTTTACTAAATGGTCCTTCTTACACTTTCTTTTATTCCCTGGTTCCTATTCCCTTTTCCCAGGCTCTTCCCCTTTTTTGACTCACTGACCAATGGGTTCCACTGTGTCCACATGGTCCATGAAGTCCCGTTTCCCCAGGTAGATGGAGAGCTGTTGTGGAATAACCTCCCATGTTAGTCTAACAATCATTTATGAACAGATTTCTCTTAAGTCTCCAACCCAAACCCCTGAGACCTTGGCGGATGTACCCACCTATCCCTTTTGCCCTTTCATTTGCCCAGCTGGGGCAGGTACTCTCACCTTCCCATTGGAGCTGGTCTTCTTAAACACCCTATGGGGAGAAAATGAGGAAGAGGGAAGGAAGGTTAGGAGAGCAGAGGAAGAGGAGAGGGAGGGAGATAAAAGAAAGGGAAGTATGAAAAAATGGAAATAATTATAGGATTAGAAGAGGCTTCAAGAAAATGAGATGGAGCAAAGGTAGAGGTAATTGAGCTGTAATCCAAGGCCACAAGTTAGGGAGAGGTTGAAAACCCTTCTACCCCAAAGGTAAATACTTGGGTTTGGGCAGGGAGCAATTCACAGATTTAGAGCATTAAATGTGTTATTACTTACTTGGAGCTGCTGGCCATGGAGTTGATGTTGAGCCTTTTCTGAGATGAGGGAAAGAAGGAGGAAAGCTCAGTTATTTGGTCCCTGTCCTCCTTATCCCATTCCAATATACCATCTACACATACCTAGTGTGACAGAAGCCTTCCTCCTTAAATATATACCTCACTATACAAGTGCCTTCAGTTCTCCTTCCTGCCAAAAGTACTTCTTAAGCCATATTCTAAGCTATCCTGGACAAGGGAAAAACACTCCCTATTTTGTACAAATTGTGACTAACCATGCTACCTATTCTCCAAAAAGGATTGGACTTTATGGAATGGCTGCAGGACTCTTGAGAGCCTTCAGAGAGAAAGAACTTATCTGGAAAGCAGCTGGACAGAGGTTTTGATCCAGAAAAATGTGTTTCTTGGACTGAATGAGACTGGACATCACCTGGTCACACAGTAGGTTCCAAGACACGTTTGTTAGATACATGAATGAATCATGAACAAATGAATGGATTCTGCCTCCTTATGTTCCTACAATAGATTGTGAGCCTGAGTTCACTTCATGTTTGCCATGACATTCAGCTAAGAAGAGACAAAAGAAAAAAAAAGAAGGGGTAAAGGTGTAGAACAGAAGGGGTTGCTGCCCTCATTTTCTTCATGTTGGTGGCAGAAACCTCTATAGAGGTTGAAAACCTTCCTTGAATTTTTTCATCTCTCATTATCTTCTTTAGATTTCTGCATCTTTTCCCTATCCATCTCTCCAGGTACTAGGAAACCTTAGAGAGTAGAAAATGTCTTTATAGTGTTTTCCTTTGATGCCCTTTGGCCTGGTCTGTGGGATGAACTCACGGAAGCTGAGAGGGTTTTTTAGCCTGAATGCCTGCTACTTGTGTCAGGAAAAAATGCCCCTCAACTTCCCCCAATATAATAAGGGGGATTCTAAGGGGAAGGGATGTGGGACTTAGTATGGGCTGGAAGTAGGGGGATTTAAAATATTACCTGGGGAGAAAGATGAAGTTCACAACAGCCTTCAGCTCTAGTTGATATGCTCACCTCTCCAGCCTCTTATACCCACAGTCTTCCAAGTGTTTTAGATTGGTGGGAGTCAGAAAAGAAGAATAGGGTTTGGGGTCAGGTGGGGGGACATGAAACACTGCTATAAATAGCTTAGGTGCAAGATTTTGGAAAGAAGATTAGTGACTAAAAGATTAGTGGTTAAAAGATCAGCAGGCTGTTGCTGCTGGGACACAGTGGGGGTAGGAAATCAATTTTTTGTGTTTGTGGTATGGGGAATTGAACCCAGCAGTATGCTACTACTGAGCTACATCCACTTTTTATTGTATGTTCAGACAGGTGTCTCACTAAGATACCCAGTCTGGTTTCAAGCTTGAGACTCTCCTGCCTCAGCCTCCCTAGTAACTGGGCTTATGAGCATGTACCACTGCGTCCAGCAGGGGATTGATTCTGATACTAAAGGCAAGGGAATTTAAGAAGGTTAACTACAGAGTTTTGGCCTTATGAGGCCTTGAATCTGAGGGCTGGGATTAAAGTGGTGTTGGAAATCTTAAAAGGTGAAGCATAGTGGGAGATAGAAATAGGATGACTTTGTATTTTGGGAAGAAGAGCCTTGTGTCACATTCCATTCTCTGTATCTCTAGATCTATTCTAGGCTACATAAAAGCCAAGGGTGTGGGAAAGAGTACCCCTTTCCCAGCCTTTCACCACTTGGGACTTTGGACTCTTGCAGCCCATAATAAAAAACCCTGATTATCCCAGCTTATATGCACAGTAGGAGTCAATCTCTTGTAGGTGGGTGGAGGCAGGAGCAGGGAACTAAGTGTATTGAATTGTGTGTGTCCATGTATGTGAGCCTTGAATTTATTTTCTTGTTGGAAAGGAAGGTACCATAGGATTCCTGGCCCAGGGGAAGATTCTCCTGGTGGGACATTGCAAGTTGAGGAAATAGATAATTGACATCTATATCACCTCCACCTAACGAAGCTCCCCCACCCGCCCAGCTATTAACTCTCTCCAATCTCTGAAACTAAGTCCATGCTCTAAGCAGCTTCCCTTGCCTTGTGTGACTGTTCATGGAATTAGAGATATTTTTGTCCCTGCAGCTGCCATAATGGCAACAACAAAGTAATCTTCCTTTCTTGACTGTCCTTCCATAGGGCTCAAGGCCCTGTTGTGCAGACATGGGAATGTAGACATAACTTCTAAGTTATGGGGGACCCTGACCCTACTCTCCCTCCCCTTAGAACTGGCTGATCTTTAGTACTTATCCATAGACACAGCCCTCAACCCCTGAATGGGGTGTCCACTCCTCAGAGGTGGCTATGGCTGTGGCTTAGAGGACTGGACAAGACCTTCTCTTAATTCTTGCTCCTTACTTAAGGCCCTGGACAGCAGTCCTGTATTCCCTTTTCATGATTCACTGGGTTAGCCCCTGCCATTTCTGGCCAATGTGCACCTCAGAGCCTTATAATTTAGTTGCTAGAACTCTCTCTTTCTTGGGGATTTCCTAATACAGTTGGAAGCCCAGATTCTTCAGGGACCATAGTGGGAGAGAAAATAATACTGGACATATGGGAAAGATTCAGGTACTTGGCAAGACTAGTGACTGTGGGAAGGTGAAAAATCAGAATGAATTTACTTTTGGACTAATCATCAGACCCACACTTGAGGCTCCTTTCTCTTATTTATTTGTTTGTTTGTTTTGTACAGGAAATGAGCCCAGGGGTGATGAACCACTGAGCCATCTCCCCAGCCTTTTTTTTTTTTTAACTTTTTATTTTGAAATAGGGTTTCATTAAGTTGTCTAGGGTCTTGCTGAGTTGCTCACACTGACTTTGAAAGCCTCCTGGGCTGCTGGGATTACAGGTATGCACCACCAGACCTATTTATCCCCTCTTTCCACTCAGGTCCATTGTCCCTCAGTAAGAAGAAAACAGATCTGCTAGTCTGTAACTCATTATTATGATGGAACTTGTCATTATTTCTTTTCTAGGAGACTGAGAATTTCTTTACTAAGGCATACTTTCCAGATAGTAAAATACAAAAATCATAAATGCATCTCAATGAAATTTAACTTACTTGGCAGGCTGAAAAATAGCCCCCAAAGATATCAGATCCTAATTCCTGGAAACTATAAATGTTACCTTATATGAAAAAAAGGACTTTATAGATGGGATTAAATTAGGGTCTCAAAATGGGCAGATTATTCTGCTTTATCAAGGTGAGCCCTAAATGTAATCACAAGTCTCATTATGAAAAAGAGGCAGAGGGAGATTTGACGACAGAGACAGAAGACAATATGAAGACTGAAGCAATTGATCCACTGTTGGCTTTGAGGGTGGAGAAAAGGGGTCATAGGCAAGGAATACTACTCTAGAGGCTGAAAAGGCAAGGAAATAGAGTCACCCCTGTAGTCTCTCATGGCCACAATGTGACTGTTGCACTTTAGGAGCAGCCCTGATGACACCTTAATTCTGGCCCATCGGTACTGATTTCAGACCCCTGCCTTCTTGAAACTGCAAGAGAATAAGTGTGTATATTTTAAGCAGCCAAGTTTGTGTTAATTTGTTACAACATCCATAAGAAACCACATGTGACCACCACCCAGATGAAGATATTGAACAGTTCCATCTCCCCCAAAGTTCTCATGTGCTCCTTTTCAGTTAGTAATTTCTCAAAGAGAACTATTACTATAATTTCATTCTGACCAGAAGCACTTGGATTTTACAAGGATGCAAGGGTAAAAAGGCAAAGGAATATACCTCTAATTATGGAGTTTCCCGTCCCTAGGAGAGATTGGTGGGAGAAATTTTGTGATCCTTACCCACCCTCACTATGCACGCTGAAATAAGTAAGGGTCTTAACACACATGATTGTTTACCAACTCAATAGCCATTTCTCCCATTCTCCTGGTGGGCGGAATCCCCAATTTTAAGGTACTCCGCTCTCCTCCTGTGCACTCCTTATGTCAGCCATGGTTGTTTCATCCCCTTGACAGTGACTGGTTTACTTATAGGCATGATGAAATTCAGCCCATGGAGATGTGAGGGGAAGTATGCTGGCAAGATTCTGAAAAGGTTTTCTGAATGCTAAAAATAAACACAGGAAGAGAGGCCTTCCTCTCTTCTTTATGAATATTGCCAAGTTTTGATACAATGCTTGAATTGCAATGCCCATGTTGTGACCATGGGAATTACTGAACAACATGCTGAGGGTTATAGATCAGAAAGATGGAAAGAATCAGGATTTTTTTTTTTTTATGACATTGTCGAACTGCTGAATTAGCTAACTCCAAAGCCACACTCCTGGACTTACGTGCAAGATAATACATTTCCTTTTTTAAAAGTCAGCTGAGTTGGAGTTTTCTGTTATTTCAACTGAAAGCAAGCCAACAGATTCAAGTGGGATGTGGACAAGGGTATTAGCTCAGTTGAGGAGGATGGAAAGGAAATAGATAGAGCAAGTGGTAGAAACAGAAATTTCCTGCACTGTCCTAGTTGCTGATCAAAGTGGTTGTGTCTCTCTTCTAAGGTTGTTAACTGTCTTGCAGGATATAGAACAGACATTTAGAAAGACAAAAGGGCACACTACAGAGGAGACAAATGGACAAAGCTAACTTAGGTACAATTGTTTGGCATCAGCCACTTTCCCATGATTTTATTAGTCAGTTTGGATTATCCAGGGTTGCTCAGATTACTGCTTTTTTCCATCAAGATTGAGTGACTATCTTGTTCCATACTCTCAGCAGGTTCCCTTAGTTTTTCAACTGGGGTAAGCCTCTCACAACCTACACATACACACACATTTTAAAAATACTGGAGATTGAACACAGTTGCACACTACCACTGAGCTACACCCCCAGCCCCCTTTTTAAAATTTTTTTTATATTGAGACAGGATTTTGCTAAGTTGCCAAGGCTAGCCTTGAACTTGAGATTCTTCTGCCTCAGTCTCCTGAGTCCCTGGGATTACAGGTGTGCTCCTGTTGCCCCCAGCTCCACCTATATTTTAATTCCTATTAACAATGGCAAGAATGATAATTGCATGGCACTGTGCTGGAATGCCTTGCCTAATTTTCTCCTTGCAACAACCTAGTTACTAGTATACTCATTCTGCTACAAGGAATGGAGGTTCAGGAAGACTTGTTCACAGTCACACAGCTCGTAGGTAAGGGAGCCAGAATTCAACCCTAGGATTGTCTGACTCCAAAGCCTGCATTTCTTCCCAGTGTATTACTTACCTCCCCTTCTTTATTCCTTTTTTCCTCAGATTACTGCTTTTTTTCCATAAAGGTTGAATGACTATCTTGTTTTATACTCTCAGCAGGTTACCTTAGAGAAAGAGCTAGAAAATGTGTCTTTCCCCACTTTCCTTCTTTGGTTTCCAAGTAAAATAACATGCATTCCAGACAAACTGTTGTCATCAAGACATTTATGGATATATGAGGGACCAAGAGGGATAGTACTATAAGGAAAAAAACATTGGAGTAATAGTAGAATGGAAGAGTATCTGCAGTAATGGTATCCACACATTTATTTCTCTCTGTCAAAGGAAAGACTATAATAAACTTGTCCTACATACTAAATTCCAGACGTCAGTGGAATGGATATCAAACACCCAAGTCGACATATACTGGAGCACACAACATATATGAATCTTAGATTATAGATGTAGAAACTATTCAACTCAACAAACTACAGTCATTCATTCATCCAGCAGATATTTATTGAATTATGTGCAGGGTACCTATTTTCTTGTTATTTATTTATTTAGGCAGTGTTTTAGTTAGCTTTTTTTTTCTCACAATGATTAAAAGACCTAACAAGAACAACATAGAGGAGGGAAAGTTTATTTGGGGCTCACGGTTTCAGAGGTCTCAGTCCATAGATGCCTGACTCCAGACCTCTGGGCTCAAGGTGTGGCAGAACATCATTGCAGAAGATTATGGCAAAGGAAAGCATCTCAGGACATGGAACAGGAAGTAGAGAGAGGTCTGCTCATCAGGGACAAAATATATACTCTAAAGGCAGATCCCCAGTGACCTA